AGTTAGAAGTTTCAAGGGATCAGTTTGCTTGAATCTTAAATGTATATCAGGATTTTTTAATGTTTGCTTTATTTATTAATTCCTTTTGAAAGTCTACTGATAATATAACATGCAATTTAATAATCTAGATTTAAACCTGTGATTTGAGAATTTGAAAACAGATTTGATAACAGTGAACCAATTCAAATAGTAAATTAATACATTTATCCTAGTATTAGTGTATGATGTACTTATAATTTGAGCCTTTATATATAACTGCTCACCCATGAGTGTACTAGAGAAAATTTGTCCAACCGAGTGTTTTTTTTTCATTGTATTGAATAAGCTGATAATTCCAAAAAAGAGGGTTTGAAAGAAAAATACATAGAAAGCATGCAATAGAGTGCAATAGTCAAAACAACAAGTAAAAGTCTGCTTTATGAACTGCAAATTTAGTTGCAAAGTCGAAGAAAATTAAACTTATCTGTATAAATCCTTGGTATTTAGCTACAGAGTTGGAAACTAATTTACAGCAGAATTGTACTAATTTGCTAAGAACATATAGTGATTAAATTTGGTATTGAGGGAAGTGCAACACAGACGAATGTGATATCTAGTTTCAGTTTGTGATGTTTAACAAAATATTCCTATTTCTCAGGTTTAACAATCTTGTATCAGAAATATAACATGAAGAAAAGCAGCAAGGAAACTGACTTATTACTTTGTTGTTTTATTGAAATTGCTTAATTTCATGTTCATAGACCGACATTTATGAAATAGAGCACATTTTTATTCAATGTACTGTAACTAGATGCCCAAAGAAAAATGTAATTCATTTGAAGTGTAAGTAAATTATACTATCATAAATATTATACAACAATACATGAATTAATAATACAGCATGGACGTCACTGAGCATTAAAGTAAAAATGAGCTTACAAAAATTAAGCAATTAGCTTAGCATTAAATATCATGAACTTGTCTATGGGCTACATTAACAACTAAAACGAATAATAACGAATGATTTTAAAAGTTTTTCAGACTCCAATAATTGTATTTTGACCACTACAAGCTAATGATACTTAGCATCCCTGCCAGCCCCCATGTAACTAATACTTTATAGACAGAAACTGGAAAACTGAAAATGTCAAAACGTCATTTTAGATGCCCTTCAGAATGATTACCTTCTTTTTAGTATATCGTTTCAGCTGTGTTTTTGCAACATGAAAGCAAGATAGTATCCTCCAAGGATGCTGAATATCTTCCTGCTACTTTGTTTTGTAATATTACAAATTTCTGCATACTAAACAGAGAGACGGACAGCCATTATTGTTTTGACGTTCTTTTCTCAGTTTTGCTTGAGGACAATACCATTAACGTTTCTTCCAGTGTTTGACAGGGAGTCAAGAGAGTATCTCCCACCACTCTGCTGGATTCCTGCATCCTTTATTGCTTGTTACTTTAGGCTACTGGCATTACTGTGTCTTTGGTTGACCTTACCAGATATTCATTTATCTTATTACAAGCAAAGTGGTTCTTATTTTGGAGGTAAAGCACCAGCTTTAAAGATACGTCCTTTATCCGGAAAGCAATGTAGTACTGTGGCTTTTATACTTCCAGGACTAAGAGCAGTTTGGTGCAAACAGAGAAATGTATCAGGCCTAAAATGAATCATTTGCTGGTTTTTGTTTGGTCACAGATGTAGATATCAAGGTTGCGCACACACATTAAACATAAGGTCAGAGTACAAATTTGATCCTAGACTTTAAAAATGCTGCCTGTTCCAGTTTCGGTCATTACAAATACAACATCTAAATGACACACACAAAAATTCCTTGGCACAGCTAACAGACATGCTTTATACAGTGGGATAAAAAAAAACATGCCACAGGGTGTTTATTTTAAGAAATGAGCAATGTTTGTTTCATCTTTGGACAGCAAGACCTAAATCAATTGCACCTTAATTTCAATGTCTCTCACTGAGGGACGTAATTAGCAGACAAATCAGATCCCACATGTTCAGGACAGCTGCCAACATGACCTCAAATGCTGGCAATAAAATTTTTTTGCAAGTGTTTATCATATTTTCTGTTTTCTCTTTTTTAATGCTAGCTTTCTAGTGCTTTCTGCTATATATTTAGCAGACCAACACTTATTGTTTCTCAACACATCTTGGATAACAAAGCATATAAACATGCTATTATTTTTCACATTATAGAGATTTTCAGCCATGTCACCTACTGATATAGCTTCATGTTATATAGAGGACGGATAAAACATGTCCACCCAGAATTCAGGCCAATAAATGAAACACTTTAGCAATCCAACTTCCAATGCAGTATAACTTATTTTAAAAGAAATTAATGGTTCCACATCACATATGTTCCATGGTTAGGTGGCATAGTCACTTAGGAAAATTAACCAAAATCAATATATTTTAAAAGGAAATTACATTTTCTTGCAACAGTCATACCACTTAAAACTTTTTTGACAGCTTTTCCAACTACTGGCATCACTGGATTTTATTTAAATTACATGCAATAAATCAACAGTAGAACGTGAACTAAATGTTAAGGTAAATGTTTGTTTTTTTGATAAACAGAGGTTGAGTGTTACTGAATAGGAACTGCAAGGAATCAAACCCAGATGGAACAATGCGTCTTTAGGGCAACCATAATCAATGCAAATACAGCCTTTATGGAACAGTAGGAAGCATAAGGTTATTGTTGAAAGAGAGCTATACGTAATGTTGCCTGGCAAAGCACTATAGGAGATATGCCAAACATTAGGATATATAAGATGCTCTGGGCAGAGGAGACTAATATTAAATAGACTTGTCCACATGCAAAATATTGGGTCTGAACATTATCCCAAACAAACCATCAAATTGTAAAACAGGGTGATGGCAGGACAGTGGTGTGGGTATGCTTTTTTCATTAGGTACAAATATGGGTCGGACAAATACAGGTCATGGAAAGGTGGGTAAAGCTAAATAAAGGGTAATCCTGAAGGAACCTCCCCCAAAAAACATGACACTAGGGTGGAAGTTTAAAAAATCCAACTAAGAAAGTAGGACAGGATATGAAACGATGCTCTGAATTTAATGTGGCTTCAAAAAAGACACATGTGGCCTCTAAATGTGTAAAGCTGCAAGAGAGATATCCAAAACACTTGCAGCTGTGGTGGCCAGTGTTGTGCCTGAACGCGTTCATTGAACGAAAGTTCATGAACTCGTTCATATTTTGGGCGAACGTGAACTGAACGTACTGCATTATTGCCTGATGAACGTTTTTGTGAACTCGTTCATTCTGGTGTCTGTGAACGGCAGCTCTCTCAGTTCAACTCCGTTCAATAGGTTGCCAGATTTCTATAAAGCCCTCCAGGCGAAACCCCGGCTAAATCACACCGTAAACAGGCCTTAATATGTAGCGGGAAAAACACCCAATCTGGCAACAGCAGCTACCAGCGTCGTAGCCTACAGCCGCGTGCGTCATCAAAACAAAATGCAGCGTGGAAGCTACAGCAGCATGGAGGCGACTTAAAACAGGTTTATGACCAGGTGGTCGGTGAGGATGATGGCAACAAGTTTGCCCGCCGGCTTTCAGTAAAAAAATCCGCACTTCAGTAACCTTAAATTCCTACCTCAGCCTGGTCCCTCAGTTTGTGTTAGTAAAATCTTCTTGAGCGGAGGTCTTCAACAGGGGATCCGCGACCCCTAGGGGGTCTACGGAGGTACTGCATGAGGGTCTGCATGGTTAGTTGATATTTTTATATTCCCCCCCCCTGCATTTTTTCCCCCACTAATTGAAATGTCTTTAAATACTCATTAACATGAAATCAACACACTGTAGTAAACAGATAAATGGAGACAAAAGATGTCTTACAGTCATCAATACACACATTCAGCGACACACAGGAGCTCTTTCAAACTGGGCACAGTTTCCTTCACAACAACCAGGAATCAGAATCAGAAAAACTTTAATAATCCCAGGGAGAAATTAATTTCTTTACATTACTCCATCTGTAATAGAGTGACTTTAGGACACAATTTCATACAATATATATAGTTAGGGGGTCCCCGCTCCATCTCGCCATCAGTTTGGGGGTCCTTGGTCTGGAAAACATAGAAGACCCCTGATCTTGAGGGTTTTACTATCCATGTAACTTGTTTGTTAAACCTGCCTGGTATAATTTTCCAGGATTCCATTATTCCTTTTTAGTATGTATTGAAATGGAATTTCAAATGGAAAAAATTATTAAAATAAAAAAAAAACATTTGCACCTTAAAGACTACTTTCCTGTTTTTCTTTTAATAATTACTCATAAAAAAGACCATTCAAGCAGCACATTTTTCCTGATGTTTTTGAGAATATACTGTAGGGGTGAAAGCTGCAGCTGCTACTAGTGTGAAGTGAATGGACAGCAACAAAGCGTTAAAGCAACAATGGGGAAATGCTGTCCCCTCAATGCTAATGTAAACCCTGGTTGGATAAGGTTTCAAAACTGGATATGAAGATGAAATCTGACGCACAGTTTAAGAGTTACAACTGATAAAATAATTGCTGTCTGTGGTTCTACAGTAGGCTATGGTGTAATTGAGCAATATATGAAAAAAAAAAAAGAACTATGAACTAGTTCGTTTTTTGGAATTGTGAACTATGAACTGAACTAGTTCATTTTAAAATGTGTGAACTGAACTTTGAACTAGTTCACGTAGAAAGAGAACTTTCCCAACACTGGTGGTGGCAATGAAATTGTGTTATACAATATATTGATGAATACAATACTCATTTACACCTTTGGATTTTTACTTGAGAAAAAATTAAAAAAATTCTTTCCAGTTCACTATTTAGCCTTGCTCTCCCTTTTAAATTTCAACAAATTACACTAAGGCTTGTGTTTTTAATGCTTGAAAATTGTAAAATGTATGATCTTTGATTTCCTTGCAATGCTGATAGCAGAAGTGTAATGCTGCAGAAAATATTTGATTCTGATCGATAATAAAGGATTGTCTTACTCACCAAATGAAACAGCATGTCAGAATTGAGCTGTGATCCCCAGGTAGCCTTTCAAAGGTTTGCTTCCCTCAGCTTGTAGGGACAGATATTCACTATTGTCCGAATCAGAGACCGGTGCAGCCACAGTCGTGATTTTACAGCAGCTACTTTAATGCAGAATTCCAGTCTGTGTGAGACAAAATGTTTGTAGTAAACAAGCTGATAAGGAAAGGTCTTGAAGTTTAGGCATGTGTGACTGCCTTCTTCTTCTACCATGTGTGATCACCCCATGCTAGTTTCTGCCTTAAATCCTTGTACCCCACAGATATTATTGACATAAATGACAGCCCACAGTGATAGAAAGAAAGTACTGTTTGTCTTCTCTGTGGAACACTGCAGGTGCACCTGTGGCTCTGTGCCCATGTGGCTGACCTCGGAGCTAACAGCTAATTGAAACAGATGGGAGATTTGAGCAGAAACCCTGAGGGCAGCAGCAATAAAAGCAGATAAGAGGAACCTAACATGTTGAGCCAATAAATTGAAGATCAGGGGCTCGTTTCAAAAAGTAGGTTTTTTCAAACTCAGACAGAAATCCTGAAATCTGATCTAGACTTAGGTTGGAAACTCTAAATTTTCGGTTTCGCAGCAGCTGCTGTGAGTTAGTTTAATTAACTCAGAGTTGGTCCTCAGTGTTGAGCATGTGCGTAACAAGCATGAAAAGCTATTTTCAACACTGATTCAATGAGTCACCATGGAAACAGACAACAGGAAGTGCGTATTTGACCCCACTGGAACTAGAGATTTTATTGCAGTAATGAAGAAAGAAGTATGAGAAAGTGTTTTAATAGACAAAGGAGAGCAAGTTGGCATGGGAGAAGATTTCTGCTCGAGTTAATGCTTACGTTTACATAAAGTCTCCTATGGCAGGCCATTTTACGCTTATACCAAGCACTCTCCTCTCTGTTGTTCAATTTCTAGATCACTAAAATAAGATTCTCACTGGTCAGATTCACATTCCTGTCAGGACTGTAGTAACAGATTTTCTAAATTGCAATTCTGCCAGCAGAAACTGAATTTCAGATCGCACACACAAAAAAGCAGTAATAAGAATGACACTTTATATACTTAGAAATGTTTACACATTTTAAGTGGCCGTTTCATCTTCACTTAATATATCTATGATATCTGAATGTCATTTCTTTCTGACCAAAATAATACAAAATATTGTTGACTAGTAACAATAGGAATATGGAGATCTGAAATATATTTTTAGACACCCAGTAGGTTTGTTTTAGATAGGAAAATGTCATTTTGTTGAAATGTTAATTTTGACAAGGAAACAATGATTTCAGATATCAGTAATATATCCATCCATCCATCCATTTTCTTGCACGCTTAATCCCAAGTCGGGTCACGAGGGGTGCTGGTGCCTATCTCCAGCTGTCTACGGGCGAGTGGCGGGGTACACCCTGGACAGGTCACCAGTCCATCACAGGACATCAGAAATATATATTCAGGCAAGCTAATATCTACATGGGCTGCTATAGTCTGTTCTAATCATGATAACATTACGGGGCAAAACTAGTTTACTAGTTGAATGGTAGCGGATCAATGTATCTATTTAAGTGAGATCTCACTGGAGAGAAGCACACCTGACAGCAGGTGAAAATGAAGTATAAAAATGCTGTTCAACAGTTAAGACCTATGCATCATCTCATGGGGTTCCTCCTCGTTTTGATTCTGCTTTACATTATGCAGTAAATTATGCTGGCGAATATTCTTAGTCATCCAGGTCATAGTCATTCCAAAACAGTTAAAAAGTTTAAAAACAAACCAGAACACATTTCACTTCCCATCTAGTAAGCTTTTTCAATTCAGTGTCCAAGGTCAGAATTCCAAGCTTCATATAGAAGCCAAACAAAGCCTTGTTTTGGCTTAGAAAACATGCAATTTGAACCAGAGCTTTTTTTTTATTTTATTTTATTTTTTTACTTTTTTTGGAATTAAGCAGTAAATAACTAGATGTTTGACTTTGCAACTGTTTTCTATAATAATGTTATCACACACATCAATGTTCTTTCACTGATATCAAGCTATGTTAAATATCTGTTAAAGATGTCTGTGTAATGCTGCAAATGTGAAGACAGATAAGGTTGTAAATGTAAGTGATGGATTGTGAGGTGAAACTATTGTACTCATAAAGATAACTTTCAGAATATTAAAGGTATGCGGTCTCCTCTCTATAAATATTTAATTCTCTGTGAATTAACACTGATCATACTTTAATAAGCTCCTCATTAAAAGGACATGCAATGTTTGTTTTTAACACTTAATATGTCTAACGGACCTAGTTATTTATTTTTGTATTTTTTTATTGTTTGCACAAAACTACGGCAAAAATCTCATGACTAAATAAGGATATAAAACCACGTGATTGGCTCTATGAGGCGTTGAGAAGAAATTTTATTGAATAAAACCTCAACCAGGATAGCTCTGGGTAGAATGTAAAAGGAACAGAGGTTGAGAAAACTCTCTATGTGAAACAGAAAACTCAGTTTCCCTGATGTCAGGTTTTTTAAAAACAAGAGTTTTCATTAAATCAATCAATCTCTTTATTTAGACACAATAATGGTCCATAAACAGACAAAAACTAGAACAATAATAAAAAAAGATAAAAAATAAATACATTTTATTATAGTAAAGACCCCTGTTTTTTTACATGGCCCCATGTTCATCTCTATACAGTGCAAACAAACTAACTCATTTTTAATTTAATACATAATGAATAAAATATGCTGTAAGATTAAAATATAACACAAACATACTCTTAATAGTACCTCCTTTAGGTAAAGTCCAGTCCTGTATGGACTCAAAGGTAAATAAATCAGTATGAGCTTGTTAATTTCTGTTTATCAATTTGGCAACTTTATTGCCCAATAATTTCCTCTTATGTTAGCAGTAAAAGGGGAATAAAGATGCCAACACATATTGTCAGCATATTTTTTTAATTCTCAAGGCTTTATCTGTTTTCTAGCATTAGCTTTGTTTTTTATTTTCCTCTAAGAAGGAGGAGTTATATCTTAATCCAAGATTAGGAAATAACTATTTTGTTCATCTAAAGAAACCCAACTCTTCAGTATTTATTCTGCAAATGGTTCCCATTTGCAAGGTTGATGAATTAGCTAAAACACTCCATCTTTAAAATTGACTTCAAAATTGTATGCATTACAAATTTTAACATACCTTAACATCTTACAGTTTTGCATCCATATGATTTTAATATAAGCTTACAGACTGAGATATCTGTTGACCACTTTTTGGTCAACAGATATCTCAGACATCTCAGCTTTGAAGGACACATTTTTTGGTGAATGGCTGTTTTACACCAAATGAAACTGCCTAACTTTTTAAACCATAACCATTTACTATAATCTCCACTTAAATTTAAAACTGTCATTATTTCAACATCTCTTCTGAAATTTAATATTAGATTTGCTTAAATATTTTTGTCTCTGGAAATATTTGAACGTCTAGTTTCATTTTTCTAAGACTATAACTAAATCAATGTTCTTATTTACTGTATTTGAATCTTATTGACATAATACTAGCATTGGTCCTAAGTACTTCAGTAAGTGCACACGGACTTATTTTTTGTCTTGAAAATATCTCCCAGGGCTTCATCTGTTTTTCACATGGGCTGAAGATAACTTGCTAATAAACTTTATTAAGAACATCCCCATAGTTGGGCCCTTGAAGTAACTAGTAGGGCCTTTTATGTCTCATGGGTCACTAGTCCTTGCCTCTATTCTGTTCAGCCTTTGGGTCTGTCACTTTTCATCCAAACATAGACTTAGGAATGCCACGTCAGCTGTGTTCCTGTCATGTCATAACTTTTAAATGTTAGTCAGGACTATAGGTGTTAGAAAGATGAACCCTAAGGCCACCCCTCATGTCTAATATTATTTTTAATTTGTCTTCACAAATGAAAAATAAGGACACTGATATCTTCAAAAGATCATGCCTTGTAATTGAGATATAAAGATGCATTTTGAGAATAGGTTCCTTATTGCTTTTATTCTGCTTATCATTTTCTTATATGTTATTGCTTAATTCATGTAAAGCACTTCTAATTGTCTAGGTACTGAACTGTGCTATATAAATAAACTTGCCTTGCCTTAAAAGTTATTTCTCCAGAACCTAACCTAAAACTTTTTCCATCTACCTGGTCTTTTTTGTTATTGTTTTGATCGGGTTTCTGGAACCCAGGCCACTTATGAAAACAGTGTCCCCTGGCCTTGGAATAGGTTCTTCTATAGCTGTTGAGGTGCTATGAAGAAACAATTCTTGGCCAAAATAAAATAAAATCAGACTACTATAGCATTGTTTTAACTTTGTGTCACAATACTGTATGTATGCAATGGATTGGGACTCCAAACTGAATGAAAACATGAAGGTGTTTTGTATTCTGAACTTTGCAAATCACAACTCTTGGGAAAAATGGAGCTCTGATTAGGATTACACTCTTCTGTGTAAAGACATTATTTATGGCAGTTTCCAGTTAATTACTGGAACTTAAATAAAACCACTCAGATGAAGCTTTCAGTACTATACAAATTTTCAATATTTAAACCCTGTGAGAAGGGATTTGAAGGAACACAAAGCATATGCATGCATCAGCTCTGCAACAGGGCGCCTGCTTCATTGAAGCCTGTAATCAGGTGATCAACAATCCTGGGCAGTTATTATTGCTTTCATCAGTATCTAAGCACATAAACACATAAATATTTTAACCCTCTTTTAGTTTGTTTCAATAGGGGCAATAAAATGCTTATTTCCTTCATCAATATATTTATTTGCAGGGGAAAATTCTCAGTCATCCAGGTCATAGTCTTTCCAAAAAACATAAAAGTAAGAAATATAAAAATTTCCCCTTTGGTTAGGGTTTTGTACTGCATCATATTTTAATGAAAACTATTGTAATAAACACTTTAAAACTGGGCATTAGTGACAGAACCAAAGTTTAAAATGAACAGAAAACAGATACTATAGTGAGTAGAATAATCCATGAGATGACTGAAATAAAATATGGGCATCTCCTGCTGTAGAAAGATCCTAAAATGAAAAATATTGACCTTAACATACAAGTCTTCTGCTTTAGGGTGTCACACTGAGGTTTTGTG